CCCCTGAGAAGACCTTGGCAGAGGTGGCAGCTGCCATGCCTCTGAAAGGAGTAATTTTACTTTTTATTGTATAGTTTGAGCAGAAGTCAATTTAAAAAGGACAATCATTGAGGCTTCTTTCCTTAAAGTATAGAGACTAAAACAGCACTGGTACATGTCTGTACGCCCAGCCACTTGGGAGACTGAGGTGGGAGAACCCTTGAACCCAGCAGTTCAGGGTCAGTCTGAGCAGCAGAGTGAGACCCCCATCTCAAAAACAGAAACAAAACCCAAACTAAAATAAACAGAACATAATTCTTACAAGTTCCATGAGAAGAAGGTACACTGAAACAAACATAAAACAGGCATGTAAAAAACCATAGTGACACAAAACCTGGCTGTGGAGGTGAATGCCTGTCTATTATAACAAGATGCCGAGAACAGAGGACATGGTTTGAGACTATGGAGGCCACACCCCTTATTAGTAGTGTCATCTGAATGAGTATCTCTCTACTTCATCTGTTCATCTGTACAATGATAGCTGAGCTCAATTTGTTCATCTGTACAATCAAGTAGCTGAGCTAGAATCATAGCTTCACCCCTGGCACAGCTCCATAGTGCTATGTACTCAGACCTCTCACAAATCCTAGTCACTTCTCATGCTCTTTAAAAAGCTTATCTTCTATATGATAACAAGAAAAGGCTTGCATTCCAAATTAAATCTCTGATGCATTCTTATGGTATGTTTATAAGACAGAATCTTGATCAAATCAACCATACTTATTTTAATAAAGAATTAAGAAATACAATAGACTAGTTGCTAGGGACGCTTAGGTGCAAATTTATCTAGGTTGACTGTCAGATGTGACTCAGTATTCAAGGCGTTTTAGTGCCTGGGGCAACATCATGTTTATGGAGATTTCTTTTTACATTAACACAGATCATTTCACAGATTCTCTCTCCAGGAATCATCACACCATCTAATACACATTTAACAACAAATTCTTTGGAAGATGTCTGTCTGTCTGTCTGTCTATCTATAGGAACACATGCACATTCCTAATTTTTTAAAGTACTGGAGACTGAACCAGTGTCTTGTATTGTTAGGCAGGAACTCTAACACTGAATTATACCCACTGCTCTCTTGTAGGATTCTAGTCTAACACATGGATTCATATACACAGATCAAATTATATTCTCCAAGTAAATAAATTCATTCATCTTAACTCTAAGCCCTGATCCAAGCTCCATCTTTTCTGTGGAAATGTCCTATTTCCTGGCCCACACGGCTTCTTACTCTGTGTGACACTTGCTTTATGCATTAATACTGGTAACCATTCTTGTGCATTCTAGACAAGTGTTCTACAACTCTGCTACATCCTCGGCCTAACGTCTTCATTTTAAAAACTATTTTAATTTGCATGCTGTATGTTTCTTTGAGATTTATTAGAATTAAGGTTTGGTCCTTAAAGGCCAGGCTTGCCATCTGAAGAACTAGCATGCTAGGAGATGGATGTAAGGGTATGTCTGCAGCATGGAGATCCAAAATGGACACAACTGCAGTCTGAACTAAGACCATGACACAGTGAGTCCATCTAAGGAGAAGTGAGGTACAGGCAATAAGTGAAAGCTCTCTAGAGTAAGCAGTCCCTTAGGAACACTGGCACATCAGGAAGAGGAAGGCCAAGACAAATTTCACATGAGTCGTTAAATATAGAAAACTCCAATATCTCCTGTGGCTAACAGAATCAACAGAGAGAAAGGCTCTTAGAGTCAGGAGTACATAGCCTTAATGATCAGCATGGTGCAAATTGGGGACACCAGGAATGCTTGATCTTTCATTGAGTTTCATACTAAACCAAAAGCCTTGTTATTGCCCCCATGCTAATGTTATATATTCATTGCACTGATTTATCTAGGTTGTAAATTTAGTATAGAATTGCTGAGTTGGTGACATGTAGCTTTTCAAAATCCCCATGCTAAATTTCTAAGCCTCACAATGACAGTTTTTGGAGATAATGATAGAATCCTCACAAGTGGAATTTGTGCTTTTACAAAACAGGACATAAGAGAGATTCTTCTCTATCTATCCTGTGAGGTTGCAATGGAGCTGCAAACCAAAGTCCGCCTTTAATAGACACCAGATCTACTAGCACCTTAACCTTGGATTTGCTAGTCTCTCCAGTCTCCAAACTGTGAAAATTATTCATCGTGTAAGCCATTATAAATTACTGCATATTTGTTATAACAGTCCCTAACTAAGACAAGCATCTGCCTAATTTCATAAATCTGGTGTTCATTAGTAGAGCGGAGAGCTTCCTGTAACCTAGTGGCAAACCTGGCTAAGTCTACCAGCCTTTTCCTGCTTCTTTGTCTTCTCCAATCTGGTGAAACATGCAGAAAATCTCTCACTCTTTGTTTCTAAGTTATCCCTTCTCCCTGCCCTCTGCATTGGAAAGGGATACTATGCTGTTCTAATTTCGACTCTTGCCATATTTAGTTAGTCGAGTCTCTGTTGAGTTGTAGAAGGATAAGTGATGACCTCTAAATCCTGCGGAGATGCCAGTAGCCCCCGACCCACTCCATGTAGTTGAAATAACAACAAAAATCACTAGACATTGCCAAATGTATCCTGGGAGGCAAAATCCCTACCAGCCAAAAGCTCTGGTCTATCCAAGACTTATCTAGAATTTTGTTCTTCTGTAATGAAACAAACTCCTACACCTTCCACAATTCATCATGTCTTGATTTTACCTCCACAGCATATCAGTCTGTGTCTCTTCAATACTTGAAAAATAACTGGATATCTTGTCTCCTCCAACAACTCCTCACTCTCCAGCCCTCACTTCTCTGAAGTGAAACTTTGAGAATGTCTTCCACTTGCTTGTCACTTTGATTCCAGTGCAAAGCTATCAGGGTCCTCTAGACTACCAAATGCTCACATAATCCAACCGCTTGGCTGGCAGGCCTGTCCAACCTGCAGCCTGTGTCCCACCAGTTCAAGGACAGCTGTGAGGGTGGTCCAACACAAGACTATTTAAAATAAACTTATTTAAAATATTATTTAAACTTATTTAAATACTAGAGACTTGTAAGTGCATATGTGTGTTTGTGTTCTTTTTCTTTTTGTAACTCGAATGCATGGTTTTCAAGCAGGGACTTTGTAGACAGTAAGGTAACGTCACAATGTCAAACAGTTGGGCATGCCTAAATATATTATTTGCTTCACCCTTAGATTCCAGGGCATGTCTTTTTCTTTTTCTTTTTTTTTTTGTTTTCCAGTCTAATCTACTCTTTTTCTTTTTGACTCCCTTAATATCAGTGTCAACTGGGCTCTGCCTTTGGCTTCCTTCTCTACTGACTCTGCAGACCTTATCAGGGCCACTGCCTTTACCACAAACCCTGCTTCCTAGCAGGGTAGGCTGACTACACTAATTCCTCTTCATTTGGTTTTGGAGCTCTGCTTTCTCTCAAATCCCTGTCCTGCACTTCTGAGCGCCTGTGGATATTTCTACCTGGGATCTCTGAAGACATCAGTAGCAAACTGGAATATCTAAAACTGAGCTAACCAGCTCTCCATAGCCACCTTGTCTCACCACACTGTTCCCAAAGCTTTATGGCTCATTAATTTTGTAGTATTGTTACCTATTCAGCTATGAATAACCCAGCGACTTCAGAGTGACCTTAGGTTCTCTGTCACTAAGGAGCTGAATAATGAAAGGCTTGGCAATCACAGCCGCTGTCTACCTCTCATCTCTTAACTCAGTCTTCTGTATTTTCCTTCTGTGGATCCTTAATGAGTTTCCTCCTGCTAGCTTTTATTACCTCTGTTTTAACCACTAGTGCTAGTGCTATAATTAACATCATTTTATGTAATTTCCTGGGGTACCTCCCCCAGGGGAACCCTTATCTGGAGGATGGCAGAGTGCACTAACTAGGTTGCTTGTGGCCCAGTGCCTCCATTTCTCCTCTAGTTTTCCCCTTTAAACCTACATTCCTCAGATACAATCATGACATTCTACACCGTATTCAAGTACTCCCTCTTTGGGAATGTTTTGTCCTAAGTTCATGTAACACTTCTTTTAAATCCCCGAAGCTTCAGGCTATGCATTTTTCCTTGGGAACCATGTCTGGTTCTTCCAAGAACAGAATGGAAGGCTTTCTTCCCACGTGTTCCCAATGAAACAGGCACATTATCTCCATCCAAGTTCCAAGAGTCTGTTGAAACTACCGGCTCACGGGTGGCTTGCCACCAGTCCGTCAAAACCGTTAGGCTAAGTGCCTTGTCCACTTATAGCAGCTTCATTTGGAGTTACCACAATGCTCGACATGGAAGAACTAAGTAACTATGCATTGAAAATCTGATCCAGAATGGGTTCAAATGCCAAAACTATAAGATGCATATATTGGGGTGTGTGTGTGTGTGTGTGTGTGTGTGTGTGTGTGTGTTCAAGAGCTAATGCCATAAGTGGAACGGGTCTAATAAGCCATATGCATAAGAAATACTATTCCTACCAGAAAGATACTGCTCTCTCTAACAGCATAGAACTTAAACGGCAATGGCATGTCTCTGGCTGATAACAGCTGCAAGTGCCTTCAATTACTAGCAAGTGAAAGGAGCAGTCTTCGAGGGCTAGTCTTTATTCTGTGGACTCCTGTGAGCCCTGGCAACGGTGTGCGCCTTCTAGGTGAGGCTGATGCGGTGTTAGGGTGACGCTGGAGATGCAAGCGCAGAGTGGAGAGCAGCAGCCTAAAGCCACAGGCTCCACTTCCGGGCTGCGTACCAGCACGGCTGAGGACTTGGGGGCTAGAACTCTATCCTCTCTGAGCCTCCTCAGTTTCCTTATCTGGAAAATGGCTGCAACATTTACTTCATATACTTCTCATTGGTGCCCAGTTCAAAAGAAGTAACAATGTAAACAATGGTAGATCATAAGCATGAAAAATAAAGGAATATTTTATACAGATTGAAAAAAAATCAAAGCATCATATATGTAACACACATTTTTGACAATACGTACCTTTTGAGAAGCTGAAAGCTTTTCTGTCTTAGTTTTCTCCTTGGGAGTTAAAGGAGGAGATCGCTCCTTTACCTCTGGAGGCGATTCTCGATACAGTGCTGGAATTAAAACAGGAAGTCAAAGAATTAGATCCAGGAGTACTGTTCCACCAGAGACCCAACTATGATGGAGGGCAGATATTTAAATGTAAAGAAACTGATATTCAACACGCGGTTGTAGCAGCAGGTGATGTGGGATATGCTCGCTAAGGTAGTCTGCAGTCTGACCCATTAGTTACAGGTAAAAGAGTTTTAATCATGAGGATCTAGAATGCAGACGGTATCAATTCAACTACTATGTAGTCACATGGATGCTTATTTCATTTTTTTCTCAATACACAGTTACCAGGAACCTGCTGAGTGCAAGGTTACTGCATTGGTGACCTTGGTGGCCACAGCCTCTGCTCTCCAGGGGCTCCTGTCTGCCCAGAGGCAGCCATGCCCACAAATGCAGCATCATTTGAAAGGCAGCTAACGACAAAGACAGTGATATGGGGGACGGAAAATCCTGAACGGAGGAAGTGGAAGGTGTGCCAAGCTCTGAAGAGCAGGCAGAACTGTGCCCTGAAGGATAATTTGGGAACAAAGACTGAATAAACACAGATTTAGGATAATACCTAAGATTTTAAATTTAAAACTTTTTAAATCTAAGATTATAATCTACATAGTTTATTGAGTCTACATGAAGTATACGTATGTAAGAAATCATATGGGAATCTTAAAGTACTAAAGTGAAAATCTACTTTAATTAAGAGTAATTCAAAATCGAGAAATCCCAAAGATGTATTTAATTGAACTTGCACAATTAAGATTATGAGTTTTTAGCTGGATGTGAGTATCGGTTGGGGTTACCCCTAGGTTTTTTTATATCTTGAGAAAAGGGTGTCAGATGTGACTAGGAGGAACTGACGGTGTTGTCTTTTCAGTGGCTCAGACACAGAATCAGACTTTCACAATGGAATGCTGTCTCCTCTTACTGTGCTGTTCTAAATGCCCCCTTCTCAGCTGAACAGAGGGTAGAGATTCTGTTCATATCCAAACTCACATTCGCTTTGCAGAATGCAGCTTCAGATAAAGATCAAGGACAATCCCTCCCACTAGTTTTAGAATGGGATATGTTGCTGAGAGTCATTTTCCCTGCTAATGCTAAAATCGGCAGTTGAGTTTTTGATACATTTAGAAAACAAATAGGATAAAAGGGAAAAAAGAACCTGCTGAAGGGTGAGATTCAGTTCTTATATTCTCAGGTATTCTGACTGTTCTATTCTCACCTACACAAGTCTCTCACAAGAAACAGAACTAAAGGAAGCATTAATTATCCTAAGGCACAGTAAGAAATGATGACGACTGCAGGATGGCCATAAGTGGAGGCAAGGCGTCAATTCCGCACAAAGCCATCAACCATCATTGCAGGTGCTCACTACATAAGGAAAGTAAATTTTGTTAGGTTTTCACTCCCTGCAGATCATCTGTCTGTCAAGAGAGGTGAGCCTAAGGGTTTATTTCTGCAGAACATGCTGTGGGAGACACATGATCTCTAAAAACAGTATCTGCAGACATTTTCACTAGTATCTGACAGGAACCGGCTGATTCCTGGCTAAAGTCACAGACATACTACCGTGCTTCACGACAGCTCTGCCACTGCCACTAAACTGAGCTGTGACCCTGCTCCAGAGCTTGCCCAGGGAAAGAGTTGGGGGAGTGTGGATGTTTATGGCAGTCAGGAAGTCAGAAGTGTGGGAAATGTGGGAGAGGACTTTAACACTGTCTTAACTCTACCTGGGAGCTACTCTGCCCTACAACAGCCCCCTTCCATTCTCCCGTAAGCTTTCTTCAGTCTGTATTATCTTCAAGCCATGTACTGAGCCTCCAGGAGAATTTACAAGCTGTTAGTCATTTCTTAGAGGGGGACATTAAAAGAAGTCCCTCCATCTAGCATAATAATCCAGTACGACATTCTTCTTCCTCCTTTTCAGTTTTAAAACTGTCCCTTTGCTCGCACAATCTGAACTTGAAGGGGAATTAGTAGTACTTCTGTTCACTCCTAGTTTGGCTTAAACGGGTTTCAAAGATTAGCATGAAAATAGACGATTAGGAATAAATAATTCTTTGTAGAAACAAAAGAGAACCAATATTCATAACAGTGTTGCCTATTTCACTTTAAATGAGAACTGCATGAGTGTCTGTGTAGGGGAGCTTAGCGGACGGAGCTCAGTGTCTTCCTGGGATCCACAAGTCTCGATCAACTGCTGGGCATGGGCTCTGAGGTGGCTTTCCTGCTTAGAGTGCTGGGCTTTCCCTAGCATGCCACCAGGCCAGCTGCTGTTAGAACATTCTTCTAAAGAAGTACTGCTGCCTGCTCCTCTCGTGATAGTTCACCTCACTTTCAGGCTTTCTGTGGCAGCTCTGTTTTCTCCTTGCAAAGCCTCACAACAAAACTACAGTTCTTAGAAGGCCTCATCAGGAATCTTCTCCTGTTCACTCTTAGTGAGCTTGCAAATGAGCCAGCCCCCATCACTCATGTTTCAGAAGGTCAGAGCTGAGGTATACACACAGGAAGAGCGAGAGCTGAGGGATTTGAGATTCTTCAGGTGCTAGTCAACTGAGGCGTCACTGCGGCGAGCGAGGAGCTGACAGACCTGTGTGCAGCAGCTGGCAGGGCAGAAGGAGCTGCAGGAAGGAGTTGCTGGAGGGTCCCCAGGGATCACCTCCCATCTCACAGCTTGGGAGCTCTCTTTTCAGCTTTTCCATTGCAAGAATGAAAAATGTTTCCTACTGGTAAACTCATGCAATGGTTATGTAGACAATACACGAAAGGGTAGAAAACGATTAAATCTTGGGCGCAGTTTTACCATCTCAGTGTAGCAGGAAGGGAGCATGCACTTACTTTCACTAGCCACATGATTAGCTGGAAAAAACCCTTCCTGCCCCTTTCCTAAGCTGCCGTACCACCAGTCTTCATTATCTTTGAAAAACACTCGGATAATGTCTCCGCGATGGATGGTTAGTTCATCTGATCGGCTCGCTGTGTAGTCATAAAGAGCCACGACCTAAGAGAGAGATAAGACCACCACAACTTTATCACAACTGTGCCACAGAAAAAGCCCCAACACTCACTTCCTCTTGCAGAAGAGCAGCTGAAACCAAAGCAGGACTTTGGTAAGCCTGAGGCTGTCTCAAGGGTTGCTAATAGGATCAGGGGTGGTGGGAACACAGCAGGAGAAGCAAGATAAAAGACTGTGGGATTGAGAAATGGTTAAGAGTATTCAACACACAAAGATTAGTTTCAAAATACCAGATGTTAAAGTTTTAAAGTAAATTACTTTGAAGAAAAAAAAAACAACAGCCCATCACACAGCATTCCATTTCTTAGAAGTAATTTCTGGTATACCTTGAGGTCCCATTCTCTGCTCTAAGCAGATGCCTCTGAAAGAAAAAAACTTCAGGTAATCAGTTTTACAAAAAAGGAAAAGCTCAATGGAAGAACTTGATTATATAGTTCTATTATCATTATTGGGTTTACTGCTGAAGCCTCTTTTTGAGAAAAACTTTTCTTGAAAAAATAGCTTTTGATATTTTTATAACAACACCTACACCTTCTGACTTTCCTTTAAAAGCTGGTCTTTGCTAGACACCAACTAAGAGGAAAGGCCTTTCTATGAGATTCTTCTTCTTTGTTTTATAACAATATCCATCCTATTTGATTTCTTTTTCTTAAAAAAACTAAAAGCAAGTCAAAAATGATGCTGCAGAGCTCCACAGCCAGCGTTTGGAAAGAGAGCTCAGTCCATCTCGGATCTGTTGCGCTATGTATGTGACGTGGGCATAATAATATGTATACACATGAATATGCTAACTCTACTGTCTCTTCACTAAACAGGGCTTCAAAAAGTATAGGCCCAGAAACTGTAAAATGGAAACACACCATTATAGCCCTCTGAAACTACGCTGATGGATTCCTTCAATAAACAGCTATGTCAATCCTAATGTGGCTGGTGCTGCACCAACAGCGGTAACCCTGCAGCAGGATCATTTCTAAAGGAGTTACCTCATGTAGGCTTTGTAGGAGAATAGAGGACAATTAGGAATTAGATAGGCAAAGTGTGAAGGTGTGGATCTCAGGCAGATTCCATAGTATGTTTGAGTTCAGTTAAGAGGAACCCCCAACTGGTTCAATATGGTGAAGCCCTGCATGATGAGTGGCAGTCAAAGGCAGGGAAGCTAACGCTTGGGTAGTTAGCGGGGTCTGACGACACACACTAAAAGAATACTGTGGTTGCATGGGGCCAGCAGGTTTATTTGTACATTTCTGGTTCTTCTGAAGGACAGCAGGAGGATCAGCTTAGATAAACGTATCATGTAGGAAGCCGCACATCAGTTTTTGTCATCATGTGGACCACTCCTAATTTAGTTCATAAAGCTGATATATTAACACTTTCACTACATTTTCCACAAGGGTCTGCTGAGGAGAGAATCTCTTGAGAGAGGTTCCACAGACCTAGCATGAGACTGTCCACTGTACCCCTATGGTACATGTTACTAGTTGCTATTACTTGTGAACTTGCTACACACATTTTGTTATGGATCACGCTGCACTCTTCAAAATGAAACCTTAAAGCCCTAGCCCCTAATATGAATATATCTGGAGAGATAGCCTTTAAGTAGACAATTAAAGTTAAGCGATGTCATAAGTCATCCTGATCAATAGGATCACTATTCTTGGAAGAGGAGGAGATGCCAGAAGCACACAGGCACACAGAGAAAAAGACTATGTGAGGACAGAGTGTGAAGGTGACACCCTGCCAGGAAAAAAGGCCCCAGGAGAAACTTACACAGCTAATACCTTGGTCTTGGCCTACTAACCTCTGGAACTGTGAGAAAGTAAATCCCCACTGTTTAAACCACCAAGTTTGTGTATTCTGGAGCAGCTCTAGCAGACTGGCGTAGTTCCACAACTTGATGGCTTCAGATAAACCCTCACCACCATCCTGTCTGGGAAGCACACACGAAGAATGCCTCCCATGCATTTATTTCCAGCCCCGGTGAGTTTAAGTTCGTCTCTACACCACAGCTTTCTCACAACTGCGCCACAGAAAAAGCCTAAGCGCCACCTCCTGAGGCAGAGGCAGTGCCTTTCTCATCAAATTACAACATTCTTGTTGATGGAGGGTGATGGTTGATGAAGCTTCAGCCTCTAAATCAGTGGTTCTAAACCTGTGGGTCACGACCCATTTGAAGGTCAAAGTACCCTTTCAGGGAGGTCACCTAAGACCATCTGAAAACACAGATATTTATAATATGAGTTATACCAGTAGCAAATTACAGTTTTGAAGTAGCAATGAAAATAATTTTATGGTTGGGGGGTCACCACAACACAAGGAACTGTATTAAAGAATTGCAGCATTAGGGAAGTTGAGAATGCAGTTCTGAAGCAATGAAACAGTCTTTGGGGCATGGCAACATGATATTGCTATTGACATCTGGCACAGCTGTCTATGTGTCTAACAACAAGGACCAGTGTGCCTGTCACGCCAACAGTCTACATTCTGGCAGTGGAGTCTGATCTTTGGCTATGACTCTCCTCCTCTACGGAAAGTTCATGACAGAAGCCATGTGGCTCAGAAGAAGCTGGTGGCATGGTATTCAAGTATGTGTTCCTATCTCAAATGCTATTACCTTCTCATTTGACAACACATTCTCTCTTCTGATAATCAGAGTTTAATGGTGCCTTCCTTGGTTGAATTTGGCAGAAAATTCTGAATAAATACTGACCTTTCTATCTACAAGATTTTATTTTCTGAGTGTTTAAGCAAAACTGTAAAAAGAGTTGGCAGGCAAAAACCCAGCAAGAGGGCAAGCGGTTTGTCTCCAATGAACAGTATGTGGACCATCCTCTTGTTCCAGCAGCCTCCCTATCAACAGTCTGTTTGGAAGACTCGCAACGCGTGTCTTCTGTCACATACTATTTGGCACCCTACAATGATCTACATGTATATAGGACAGAATTGTTTTCTGCAATATGATTCAATTATTGAGATAAAAGAGTAGTTATGAAATCTTTCTATAACAAATGTTAAAAGATAAGTGATAGTGTATACATATCTTATTACATTTTGATAATAAAAGGTCTGTGAAATAAAATGTTTCATAAAATCCATTTGTTTATATATAGCTGGTCTTTGGCTTTTGAAACTATTTGCTAAGAACAGAACTGTAAGTTTAAGAATCATTAATTGGCAAATATAATATACCTAATATACCTAATCATATCTTATCCTGGCATGCCTTAAATGTACTTTAATAATTTATATTAAGTCTACACTTGGAAAAAAATCATCTAACCAGTAATCTATTCACAAAAAGTGTTGAATATTGCATACAATTAACCGAATATTATACTGGAAAACAGTATAATATTCCTGTGCCACTCTGAGTGAGGACCATGAATATTCAAAACGAATCTCTCAAAGCCAAGTAGACTGAAAAAAAATATTGAGTTTGTTTCTATTTGCTTGTTTTTTGAGACCAGGTCTTACTGTGTTACCCAGGCTGGCCTCAGCCTCCGTAATGGTGAAACTATAGGTCCATGAAACGACACCGAGTTAGGCTGGTCATTTGTTGTTGTTCTGTCTGACGCTCCTCTTTCCTCTTTCTTTTTTTTGGGGGGGGGGGAGGAGGCGTGGGTACTGGCAGTCAAACAAGGCCTTCCATAGGATTAGCAGGTGCTCTGCAATGAGCTATATCTCTAGTCAGGGTTCCTTTTGAGACGGGTTTTATACTGTGGATCCCATGTTGGCCTTGAATTCATGATCCTGCTGCCTCAGCTCTCCCCCCGCCCCCCAAAAAAACCTGGATTATAGGTGTACTACCCAAATGGGGCATAAACTTTGGTTACGGATGCCTACATTTTTCAGTCTTAATGGAACTTCCTACTGAAGACTATTTTGTATTTTTTAAAAAATAGCCTGGTTATTATAAGATGCTAGGTAGAGTTTTCTTTGTAATATCTTTCAAGAAATTAAGCATTGTAACTATCTCTGAAGGATTCTCACTGACCCTTGTAGGACTTGAGCAGTCAAGTTCAGCAGTCTGGCTGTTCCTTGTACTTTTATCAAGCGTGAAATCCAATAGTCAATATTCATAATGTCCTCAGGCAGTTTACCAAGCCAAGTTACGTTGAATAAACTCATACTCTTGAGCAAAATAAGGCTTCAGCTGGAGAACTTTGCTCTGCCAGCCTAAAACAAGTGTGACACTGGGACTCTACTACCTTCTCTATGCCTTCTCCTTAATTTACTTGGTCTCACACTTTCGTCTTCAGAACTGTGAAACAATGCATTTTGCTTGTTTTGGTTACCAACTGTGCAGTAGTTTGCTACAACTCCTCCAGGGAACTACAAAATGTGCAGTTTGCTTTGCAAATGAGCTGGTTTTTCCTGTATTTTAAAATGTGAGTTGGACCTTGCTGTGCCATGCAGTGACCCAAGGTCATCTTGACCCTTCCCAGGATAACTTTTAAGTTTTGTCAAAATAATTTAAGAGACAACTTTAGGCCTAAATTGGCTTCACTGCCAAGATGCAATACTGCTAACAATTCCACTCATGCCTTTCTACTCTGGCTACCAAAAATGTAAATTTTCCCAATTGGCAGATGGACATTCATCCAAATACTTAAGGATACGTATAATGGTTACTGGTAAGTTACTACCAATTAATTAATGTAAGATGAAATTTAAAGTGCTGTTTAGCATTTATCTTAAAATTAAATAAACTTCGAGAAAGTTATCTCTAATACTAATTAAGAAATATTATTTTTACTATTAAAACAGAAATAAGATAAAATATCATGAAAGGAAATTTAATGATAAATCCCAAATTGTGTAGAAACTCATAATTAAATGTTATATGACCCCTTTCCACATAGTGACACTGGGTTCTATTTTACTTCATAAGAAGAATGAGGAAAAGCACACTGTATTTCTAGCATAGTATGGCAAATCAGCCTTCTACTAATTATTTATGGGAATGCAATAAGAGAACCCAGTAAGTA